GTGTGATTAAGGTGAGTTAGTTGTTGAAACTTAAGGTGCGTCGGCTTAAAACTTTAGGTGCGTGGTTTTCCTTCTTAAGATGTGTGATTTGTATGCTTAAGGTGTGTCAATTGTTAGAACTTAAGGTGCGCCATTTTAAAGGTTAAGGTTAGATGCATCAATTCTACACTTAAGGTGCGTCTTTTTGTTTTAACTACACAGGAAGTTATATTTGCATATGATCCACTCTATATATATATATATATATATATATACATACATATATGGTAGGGTTCTAGTGAGAACATGAGAACATATCATGTGCATCCATCTAATATTTTTTAATGGTATAGATTAGATTAAGTGTGTGCGAACACGCATTAAATGTGTGCAAACACACTTATTCGCGTTTGCACATATTTAATGCGCGTTCGCATACACTTAATCTAATCTAGACCATTAAAAATATTTGATGGATGCACACGATTTATTCTCACGTTCTCACCTAAGCAGGTGTTCTCATATAATCTTTTATATATATATATATATATATATATATATATATATATATATATATATATATATATATATATATATATATAGGGTTGAGTTCAAATGAGGACAACAATATATAGAGGACTGTGAGGACAAATAATGGGCACACAACAAATTAATAGCAGGCACACAACTTAATACATAATGGCACACAAGAATAAATGTAAACATCAGGTTTCGAACCTAGGCTCTATAAATTAACAAATCTAGCACGCAACATACAAACTGTGGCACACAACTACATTCGGCCATGCACACGACATACCGGCTAATGGCACACACTAGATCTGTCCTCACAGTCCTCTATAATATACTTGTCCTCATTTGAATACACACACACACACACACACACACACACACATATATATATATATATATATATATTTATTTATTTATTTATATACTAGTATTTCTTATGCGCGATGCGCAAAAAATAGGTGCCCAATATTAATATCTTATATAAAAATTTAAAATTTATTTAGATTTTAGATATTTAAATTATTGTAAATAATAATAATAATAATAATAATAATAATAATAATAATAATAATAATAATAATAATAATAATAATGTTGTAAAACATTTCTATAAATTTAATATTTATATTTTAAAAAATAACTAACATATAACCCCAATATATAATGTGTATATTATTATTATATTATTATTATTGAAAATAAGAAAATATATGTTGGATGCATGTGCATGGTAGCAATAGTGGAAAAGATAACGGAAGTTATAACGGTAGGGGTATGTTTGTCCAAAATATTGTATAGTACAACATTTATAGCATAATGTATCATAAAACTTAACGGAAAAAACGGACATAAATAAAGGGTATAACCTTCATCCGCAGTTATTATGTTTATATATATATATATATATATATATATATATATATATATGTTCCGGATCAGGTGAGGACCTATCCTTAGGTGAGGACGTGAGGACTAATCCAAATCATCCATTTTGAGTGATCTAAAGGCTACGACAAAACAAAAACACGCTGCCCAAAAAAGTGGGATGGATGCACAACAATCACACTATGAATGCACAACAAACAAACACAGAATGCACAACAAACAAACACAGAATGCACAATAAACTGAGTACGAATGCACAACAAACTGAGTACGAATGCACAACAAACTGAGTATGAAAAATTAAATTCATTGCATATAATTAAATCACAGCCGTTGACTTAATTAAATGAAAGGATCAGATTAGTCCTCACCTAAATATAGGTCCTCACCTGATCCGGAATATATATATATATATATATATATATATATATATATATATATATATATATATATATATATATATATATATATACTACATTATAACAGAGTCAATAGTACTAAAAAAAAAAAAACAAAACACATAAATACGTAAGAGTTAATTCCACTAGATGTCCCTTGTTTTTTGTGACAGTCGTTTAACATCCCAGACTATTATTTTTTAGACACTTTTAGTCCTTCTCATGACTTTTTCCTATTTTTAGTAAGAGTATTTTTGTCTCTTCATATTGTTCTTTTGTTATTTTTTCAAGTTTAATTTGTTTAGGACTTTACTAAAATCGGTTGAAAAATATGGTTGCTAAAAATCAGAGGTTACCTAAAGTTCTAAACCAATTAAACCCGAAAAAAAAATATGAAAAGACAAAAATACCCTTACTGAAAATAGAAAAAGTCATGAGATTGACTAAAAGTGTTCAAAAAATAATAGTTTGGATGTTAAATGGCAAACATCTCATGGCGCACATAGCACTGTGCGCCCCGCGCACCAGGGCGCACATAGCACTGTGCGCCCCGCGCTTCCCAAAACGACGTCGTTTTATTAAGTTGTTAAAAAAAATCCCCTGTTTCGAATGCACATAAATTTATAACAAAATACACATAAACTCATAACAGAATACACATACTCTAACATAATACATAATACACATAAACTCAAAACACAATACACATAAACTTTTAACTGAATACACATAATGGGTGTGGTTAACATAATACACATAAACTCTTAACTGAATACACATAAACTTTTAACTAAATACACATAAACTCATAACACAATACACATAAAATTTTAACTGAATACACATAATGAAGTTTGGTCTGTTCGGATGGACGGAGTGACATCAGCATGAAACACGCGCGTTTTGTGCCTGGGCGCACATTGCTATGTGCGCCGTGGTGCACGATATAAATTGCCGGGATTCAACCTTTTGGGAGAAGATTAAGTTTGGGAATAATGACAGCGGAATCGAGTCACCAACCTCTCAAAGTGAAGGGAGCACCCAAATTTAGTTGAATTATTATAATTTACATCCTCTCCCAGATGTTTTGTATGTTCGAAATGTGTCCGCACGAGTTTAGCTCAATGATTCAGTGGGCAGTGGTTGAGGGAAGAGACCACGGTTTGAACTTCGAAGGTGACAGTGTGGGAATTATGTTCAAAGTGGGCAGATTCCTTGTACGCACCGGTATTTAGCCCTGTCTGCTGAACCATTAAACCATTGATTTACCTCCTCCCAAATGCTCGGAGTGTGGGGGCCCTTAGGATTGAGGATTCAACCTTTTGAGAAAAGAAGGTCGAAATGTGAGATCCTTGGAGTTTGGGATTATAAGGGTCCGTTTACCAACAGAAACCTGTTCTCTATTTATGTTTTCTAATTTTTCAGTTTTCATTCTCTATTTTTCATTTTCTGTTTTCTGTTTAGAAAATTTTAACTGAAAACTATTCTCTGTTTCTCTTTTCTAATTTTTCAGTTTTCACCTTAAAATTTAGTTTAGGAAATATTAATATTTTTTGAGCTAATATTTAAAATATTTTTTTTGGATATATTCATTTAAATGACATGTATATGAATATATAACTTTTACTTTGAATTCTAATATATGTGAGATTTCAATATCCGATATCTGGACCGAACTTGTATTATGATGTAGCATAATTAAAATATTCGAACTAATAATCTATTGAGTTCAATCAAAATCTGAAAATTATATAGAGTTTAATTCTTAATTTTGATAATGTAAATAATGTCTAACTTTTAAATGTAAGTAAATAAATTATGTTTAAATAAGTAAAGTAAGTAGAAAAGATAGGCATGATCATTAACTTTCGGAAATTCTCTCTCTAGAACACATCTAGGGTTTTCGCATTCATACTAGGGTTTCTAGGTTTTCGTAAGGTCGCCGGTGGATCCGTTCGGTTGAATGGCCGGTAATACGCAGGGTTTGATCGATGATGAGGGCCGGGGTATGCAGCGGCAGAACGACGTCCCCATGCGGCCTCCTACGGCGGCAGTTGCGACGGACGTTGAGGCTGGTGTGGCGGCGATCACCGATCGCTGGGCGGATTGGGCTTTGGAGGAGGAGGCCGCTGCTTTCATGCCGGCTGTGGGCGGGGAGGACGACAGTGAGGTGGGTGAGGAGGAGGAGACATGGAAGGTGGTTGGCCGTTTCCTCACGCAGAAGATGATAAAGCTTGATTTTATGAGACAGGTTCTTGCATCTGTGTGGCAGCCGGTCAGAGGAGTGCAGGTAACGGAGATCCAAAAAGGTTTATTCCTGTTCGTTTTCTTTCATAAAATAGACATGGATTATGTTTTGAATGGTGGTCCCTGGGCATTTGAGAATAATGCGTTGGTTTGTCGGGAGGTCAGGGATGGAGTGTTGCCGGGGGATATCCAGTTGAATATGATTGATATGTGGATACAGCTACATGATATGCCCAGGGGATATACGACGCAGGCTATTTTGGAACAGGCGGGGAACTTTATGAGCACTTTTATTAAGCATGATGACCGTTATGAGGGGGCTCCGTGGCTAACTTTTCATCGGATACGGGTATCCATACCGGTTGATCGCCCTTTACGAAGGGGGATGAAGTTGATGAAGCGGGATAAGACTATTGCATGGGTCACTTTTCGGTACGAACGGTTGCATAAGTTTTGCTATTTTTGTGGGTTCATGGGACACCTACACACGTTTTGCATTCATGCAAGGGAAGCAGGAATACTGCTGGAACGGTACCCGTATGGTCCGGATATGCGTGCTGGTGGATCCCGGAGTGCTCCTAGAGCAGTTGGGGATAGCTGGCTCGTACCGGTAGTGGGGCGTCTGCGTCCGGTGGTGTCTCGGGAACCGGTGGGTATCACGGCAGTGGTGGATTTAGAGAATGGGGATGGGGCGGGGAAAGTGGTGGAGGAGTGTGTGGTTGCATCGGCGAAGCGCCGACGGCAGGTGCAGGCGGATAGGGTGGAGGATTTGGGTAATAGGGGTGATGTCACAATGCAAGATGGCTCAAAAAACTTGTCTATGGCGGGAGCTGGTACCCAGCCCCGCCCGTCATCGTGAGTACTTTAAGCTGGAACTGTCGTGGCTTGGGCAATCCACGCACAGTTCGACAGATTGTGGGCCTAGCGTCCAGTAAGAAGCCTGATTTTGTGTTTTTTATGGAGACCAAGGTGCCACGGATACATGCAGAACGGATCCGTGTTACGTTTGGGTATGAGGGTTTGTTTTATGTTGATAATGATGGGTTGAGTGGTGGAATGGCGCTTTTGTGGAAAAAGAATAATACGGTCAGTCTATTAAGCTACTCGCAGAGTCATATAGATGTGGAAGTTAGTTTGTTTAATAAGTTATGGCGCATGACATGTTTATATGGTATCCCGGAGCAAAATAGGCGGGAGGAGACTTGGGATTTGCTTGGCACTTTGAAGAATAGATCCTTGTTACCCTGGGTGGTGATAGGGGACTTTAATAATCTCCTATATCAGCATGAGAAGAAAGGGGGAAATCCGTACCCTAATAGCCTGTTACGGGGTTTTGGAGATGCTGTGGATGGCTGTGGTTTGTTGCAAATGCCGATGAGAGGCCACCAGTTTACATGGGAGAAAGGAAAGGGGACACCGAATTGGATAGAGGAAAGGTTGGACAAGGCCCTAATAACTAATGATTGGGGTGTAATGAATGAGAACGCATGGTTGGAGAACATACGGACCCGGGCCTCGGATCACTCGATTCTTTTCCTCAGTATTAATGCAATGTGCATGCCAAGGGGAAGGGGGCCGCGGAGGTTTAGGTTTGAGATGGTTTGGTTATTGGATGAAGGGTGTAAAGAAGTGGTAGAAACGGCCTGGCAGGAGGGGAGAACGGAGGGATTGCTGTATTGTCAGCAGTTGTGTGAAGAGAAGTTAATGCGGTGGGGGGGGGGGGGAGATCAGTTCCATAAATTCGGTAAACGAATTAAGCAGCTACAACAGAGGCAGGATACCATTCGGAATAGGCAAGATTTGGTGGCCCTAGCTGAGTACCAACAAATTGAGAATTCCCTGAAACAGATTGAGACCCAGGAGGATGTGTTCTGGAGACAGCGAGCCAAGCAGCACTGGCTTCGCGGAGCGGACGCAAACACAAAATTCTACCACAGGTATGCCTCTGCTCGTAAGAAATTTTTTTTATTTCTAGTATTAAATGTGATGCTGGTGACTGGGTGGAGGGGGATGATATGCATTCAACTATTCTTAAATACTTTGAGAGTATTTTTGCCTCTAATGGATTGGATTGTGATGATCCACTATTTGGTGTCCTAACCCCACGAGTGACGACGGCGCAAAATATGATGCTAGACCGCCCTTTTGAAACTGACGAAGTAAAGCGGCCATTTTTTCAATGATCCAGATAAGGCACCGGGCCCGGATGGGTTAAACTCGGGTTTCTACCAGCAGTTTTGGGAGGTAGTGGGAGGGGATGTATCTGATTTTATAACGAATGCCTTGAATTCTTGTGTATTCCCCGAGGGTTTGAATGATACTAACATTGTTTTGATCCCTAAGAAAGAGGTGCCTGAGACGGTTGCAGATTTAAAGCCGATTGCTTTGAGTAATGTCATTTATAGAGTTATGGCCAAGATGATAGCAAATACGATGAAAACGCTCATGGGAGGACTGATCTCAGAATCCCAGAGTGCATTTATTCCGGGAAGGCTTATCACTGATAACATCTTGGTGGCGGATGAGGTGGGGCATTATCTAAATAGAAAACAATGTGGTGTAGTGGGTTGGAGTGCATTGAAATTGGATATGTTAAAGGCCTATGACAGAATGGAGTGGACTTTTCTGGAAAGGATGCTGACCGTTATGGGATTTAGTGAGAAGTGGATAAAACTTATTATGCTGTGTGTAACGACTGTTAATTATACTATAATGGTCAATGATATGGCAGGAGGGTGCGTGAAACCAACCAGGGGTCTCAGTGATATGAATCTAGTCCAAGATTCAAATAAGATGAGTATTGTCCCAAGAATTGCTCTCAATGTAAAGATAGAGATGGATCAAAATACCTTAAACCTCACGAGAAACCCTTTGTCTCGAATCCTCAAAGACTTGGAAGAATCCCATGTAGCTTCAAGTACCTCGATGTTGCAATCTTCAATCAACTAGAGTCGGATCTAGTTTCCTTCGATTCAAGAACGAGTCCACGAACCTAAATCTAAGGTTGAAGAAAGTAAGATTGATTCGAGTCCACGAATCAATTTGCTAGTCGAGTCCACGACTAGCCACTAATTGAGTCCACAATTAGCCATAAGGTTTCTTACACAAGTGTAAAGAAAAACTTAAGAATTTTATTGAATTAAAGCCTTCCCAAAACTGATATGGATGTGCCCTATTTATAGGTATAGGGCAGCATTGTAATCTAAATACAATGGGAAAAAGAGTCCTAAACCTAATCTAGAAAACACATAAATAGAGTTTTATTTAGAAAAGGATTTAAGGAATCCTTTCTAAATACAACTAGTGTTTTCTCTTTACTTCCAAACAATTTAAAATAATGATGACCACAAATAATAAATCTAATTTGGGCCTTGAATCCCGTGATTGACCCAATTTGTACTCTTAATGGATCTTCATTATGTTGGGCCGCATCATCCTCCCCTTCTTGAAAAATGATTCGACCTCGAATCTTCTAAACATTGTCTTCGATCTGTGGCATCACTTGAAACGGGCCACTATAATACTTTCCTCTATCGAATGGAATTATTATTGGACTTCCTTGATTCTTCCACCAATGGTGCTTTGAAGATGTAGTTATGGACTTTTTAATGAGCCTACTATGTTCCCTTATTGGATTCCGTGTGAGCTGGTTCCTATTACTCAGGCAGGGAGATCCTCTCTCTCCGTATTTATTTATTTATTATTTGTGCAGAGGCTCGCTGGATGATATTGCAGTATGAGCAATTAGCAGGCTCTATACATGGGTGCAGAGTAGCTAGGAGGGCACCGCCTGTATCACATCTATTTTTTGCGGATGATAGTCTCCTATTTTTTAAAGCGAATATCCAGGAGGCTGGAGTTATAAGGCAATGCCTAGCAAGGTATGAGAAATTGTCAGGCCAGGTGGTGCATTATAATAAATCTAATATATGTTTTAGCAGGAATACCCAGGAGGGTGACAGGGCGCAGGTAGCGGATTATCTTGGGGTGGTGCAAGCACCCAATTTTGGAAAATATTTGGGCCTACCTTCCTTTGTGGGAAGGAATAAGAGAGCTGTATCCTCTTATGTGGAGGAGAAGATCAGACAGCGGATTGGTTCATGGAGTAAAAAGTTGCTTTCTCAGGCTGGTAAGGAAGTATTATTGAAAAGTGTAGTGCAATCTATGTCTACCTTCTCAATGAGTGTTTTTTTGTTACCTGAGACAGTTTGTTAGTCAATTGAGCGAACTATGAATAAGTACTAGCGGGGGAATGGAAGAGAAAGGGGAATACATTGGAAGGCTTGGGACAGGTTGTGCGTCCCGAAAAAGTATGGTGGTATGGGTTTTAAAGAGCTTAGGGCTTTTAATCTTGCTATGCTGGGAAAACAGGCATGACGTTTTCTAACAGACCCAGGAACACTCGCAGCAAAAATTTATAAAGCAAGGTATTATCGCAAAACCAGTTTTACTGATGCTACTATTGGTAATTGCCCAAGTTATTGTTGGAGAAGTATAATGGCAGCGCATGCAATGGTGGTCTCGGGGGTGTGAAGGAGAATTGGGAATGGACAGACAACTTTAATATGGGGACATCCGTGGCTACGAGATAATCCTAGCCCATTGATCCAAACAGAAATGCCAGAGCAGTTGAGAGAGGCACGGGTTGCAGGATTGATTGATTTACAGACACACACATGGGATCTACATATTTTATCTGACCTGTTTATTCCTGAGGATGTGGAACGAATAAATATGATCCCTATTAGTCCTGATTACGAGGACTCATGGTATTGGATGGGTGACCCAAAGGGGACATATACTGTGAAGAATGCCTATAGGCGTATTGTGGGCGACTATGAAAATAGCCCCGTGATGTTTGATAAATGGATTTCAATGTGGAAATTAAAAGTCCCCCTAAGTGGAAGACTTTCTTGTGGAGAGCCATATGTGATATTTTGCAACAACCACTAACTTGATTATTAAAAGGGTGGACGCCCCGTGATGTTTGATAAATGGATTTCAATGTGGAAATTAAAAGTCCCCCTAAGTGGAAGACTTTCTTGTGGAGAGCCATATGTGATATTTTGCAACAACCACTAACTTGATTATTAAAAGGGTGGAGGTGGATCCAATATGCCCAATGTGTGGTTTAGATCATGAAGATGTGTTACATATTTTAGTGCTCTGTGAATATTCTACACTTGTTTGGAATATAACACAATTGCCTATCACTAATATTATTGCAGACTCTTTTACATCATGGCTAAAAGGGGCTTTGGCGGTCTTGACGGAGGAGCAAACCCGATTGATGGTAGCGGTGTTATACTATATTTGGAGAACCCGAAACTCAGCTGTTTGGAAGGGATCTATGACGCGGCCTACCCAAGTTGGCAGAGCAGCAGCCGCAGCAGTTCAGGCATACGGTGCTGCCCAGGATTACCGCACCCAGCCGGATGCGCCGTCGGCACCATCAACCGAACCGGGAGGTGGCGGTCTGCGATGTTACGTGGATGCGGGCTTCCGTCACGGCACGGGCGAGGCTACGTATGGCATATTACTAGTAGCGCCAGATGGCTCTTTTGTGGCAGCAAAAAATGGCAAGTTGCCGGTTTGTTTCTCACCACTTATGGCGGAGGCGCAGGCATACAAGGAAGCACTGACTTGGCTATTTGAACGGAAAAACACATCAGTAAGTTTACTCAAGGATTGCATGGAGTTGACTACAATCATCCGGCAACAGGAAGTCCAAGCGTCTGTGACCGAGGTCTTCGAGGGCGATGACATGCAGCTCATACTGGAGAACTTGCCGGGAGAGGTCGCGGACCCCGGGCCCAATCCCTTTACCGAACCCTCAGGTGCCGCTTCCGACCCGATCCAGACGACGAAGGATGTTCAGCCCTCCGATCTTTAGGACCCGTGCCACGGAACTTTGTTTTGGGGAGCCCGGTCCTCTTGTACCGGGCAGTAATTAGCTAGGCCTAGCGCGCCTTTTAATGTGTTCGTTTTGTGTACTCTTTTTGGCTTTTACTTTTAAGAAAAAATTTTTTGCGCGATATTCACTTTTGGTTTTGATTTGATTCGCAAAACGTTTAGGGTTACCCCCGCCTTAGGGTACTCGGGGTAAGGTGCTCGGACTTCCTTTTATTCCATCGAGTTATGCCCCCCCCCCCCCTTCCTGCTTCCTTAAGTGCGAGAATCGTCAGCATAAGGAAGTAGATATGGTGGGGTTTTGCGACCAATCGATTTTGCCAAACTTGTAGGACTTGGAAACTGACGAGACCTATACCGATATGGTGATTGGGTTTTAGACGCGACCGGGTTTTTGATGTGTTCATGAAGTGATTTAGTATGTGTTGTGAGTTGTTAAGATTGTTTTGAACTTGTTTGGAAGATATTTTGCAGGAGAAACATCATCTGGTGCACAACACAGTGTGCACCAGATCAGAGGGGCGGTTCTAGCCGCGGCCCATCAGAAGGGCCGCCGGCTAGAGCCTTGGTGGCACGGGACTAGGGCACGGCCCTAGAGGAGGGCCGTTGCTTAGTCCCGTTGCTTTAACGGGGCTCATGGGGCGGACCATGAGGAGTCCCGCCCCAGGTCTCTGAGTATAGTCTATGAAGGATTTTTGTGCAGTGGCCGGGCCCTTGTGGCTCAGCTACGTGTCGTTTCGGACCGAGTGTTACGGGTCCTTGTGGCTCGGCTCTTCGGGATCGTCTCGACGTACGTCTTGGCTTTGATTTCATTGAATTTGGATTAAAAACAAGTATGTTATGAACGATTTTGTGAAAAATTGCTACACAGTGCATATTTGCTAAGTTTACTGTGTATGAAGAATTATTTGATTATTGTGATATGATGATATTCTATTGAGTAAAGAAGCATAATCATTTGAGTATTTGATTTATTATGAAAGCATGACTAAATTGTGATATTTGAGCAATGAGAAATGAAGCATATTTTGTTGAGTAAATTATATAGAAATTGCTATGTTGCAAACCAAGCATGATGATATATTCTTGAATGCTTCATGTTAGTTTATACATGATTTAGAAGCATGTTATAGAACATTTTGACATTTCACATGAGTCATATTTCAAAGATGCATAAGGGGCCAACGTGAGCCCAAGAATACTTTCAAAAACCATAAGCATGTGGTATATCATTCTTGATGCATTGAGAAGTAGTAGAATTGTTGCATGCATGAGATTGATGCATGAGAGATATATTTATGTATTATCTATATTGGTGAGGTTTTGGAGGATACCGTTTGGACTGTGTTCCTCTCGAAAGATTTGTATGGACATTGCGGTCCCAGTATATGTAACGCGGTGTATTCCCACGTTACGAGGTTGGAAACTTCCCGCCAGGCTTGGAATCCTGGTTAGGAGGTGTGCACACTAATAGTTCGATACCTGATTCCACAGAGTTTGAACCACGAGATTGGTTCCGTAGACGGTAGGAGATATTGAGTCGGAATTATGTCATTCCCGATGGGGTAATTCACACTTTTGTGAAACCCTAAACCGTCTACAAGTATAAGAGAAAGAAAAAGAGTCAACAGAGACTCAGGAAAGAGAGTCAATAAAGACTCGAGAGAAAGAAAGAGAGTCCAGAGAGACTCGAGAAAGTAATAAAGAGACTTCCACAGAAAGTACTCTAATTTATAAAAGAGTGTATGAGTATATTATTGCAATAGATTGCATAAGAGTATGATTATATTGTTGTACTAGATTGCATATGAGTATGAGTATATGGTTGCACTAGATTGCATATAAGTATGATTATATTGTTGCACAAGATTGCATATGAGTATGATTATATTGTTGCATTAGATTGCATATGAATATGAGTATATGGTTGCACAAGATTGCATATGAGCGTGAGTATATTGTTGCACTAGATTGCATAAGAGTATGATTATATTGTTGCATTAGATTGCATATGAGTGTGAATATATTGTTGCACTAGATTGCATAAGAGTATGATTATATTGTTGTATTAGATTAGATTGCATATGAGTGTGAATATATTGTTGCACTAGATTGCATATGAGTATGAGTATATTGCTGCATTAGGTTGCATAAGAGTATGCTTATATAATTGCACGAGATTGCATATGAATATGAGTATATTATTGCACTAGATTGCATAAGAAGTATGATCAGAATGTTATACGTGATTGTATGCGAATAGAGCATCGTAAGAGATTGTATAACGAGAAGTTTGACTTAATATATTCTTTTGAGCATGTTTATCGTGTTGTAGTAGAAGCTCTACTTATCAAGTTATGTGATAAGAATGTGAAAGCATGTGAACATCTGTTTTATGTTCTTTTAACATGATCCAATTTGTAAGCATGAGTTGCTTGTTAAATTATTTGAAAAGTTTATAAGCTGTTGAATCTATGTGAACAGTCTTGTACACATATAAGTATGCCAGCTGATATTATAGGGTGCAAGCATCTAAAAAGAATGTGATAAATCTTAAGATGATTTGAGATTAGCTTATTGCTATAAAGATATCAATTGTTTTCGAAGTATATGCTAGAATGCTTACATGGTTGAGTGTGGTTATACTTAGCTTCGAGTTAACGAGTGTTTTTCATGTCTATCTATGTGTTGCTTGCAAAACTCCTTTCAGGTGGGCCCAGCTGTGTGAAGAAGTCGAGTTAGATTAGTCTCGTAGATAGAGAAATCTAAACTCTAGTTTGGTTGATGATTATGTTATGGATTTAGACTTATGACTTTATACTCTTTGATGATGTTGTAAATTTTTGGGGTGACGTTTTTCCCCCTTATGTTGCCAGTATTTACTCTTAGTTCCCAGACTTAATCTTATTTTTAGTTTTACCCTTTTAGCCTGTGCAATCACCAAAGAGTGGTGGTTGTGGCGGTGATATTCCCACTATTTATCTTCTAGTTTTACGCTGCTGCTTAGTTATGTTAATGACTGTTTAGAAATGTAATTAAGAGTTAGAAAAGTGGGGTGTTAAACGGCCCCTGCTTGAGCCCCCTTCTTGGAGCCGTTTCGCTGCAATTGCCTCTCCGGCGTTCGCATGGTTAGTAACGCGGCGGATAGCTTCATCGTACGTCGCCGGGGGGTGGAGGATGACGTCTTTGTACAGCGCCCTCGCCCGAAGGCAAGAATGCAGCATGTTGATCGCTGTTTGGTTGTCCATAGGCTCCACTTCACCGACCGTGTTTTTTCATTTGGCGAGGAAATCAGAAAGCGACTCGCCTTCCAATTGCTTGGCCTTTTCCAGATACATGAAGTGTTTTCTGACTGCTCGGGACGTTGCAAACTTCCTTACGAATTTCGTCGCCAAGTAAGTAAAGCAAGTGATGGATCCCGACTCTAGGGATTTGAATCAGTCGGCCGCTCTACCTGTCAAGGTGGAGTAGAAGACTCGACACATCACAGCATCGGTGACGCCCATCATCAGCATGTTGTCGTAGTATGAGTTGACGTGCGCTTCGGGGTCGGTCTTCCCATCGTAATCCTTGCTGCCCGGGACCTAGAGGTCGTGCGGATAAAGCTGACTCATCACTTCAACTATGAAGGGGGTTCGCAGCAGTGGCTAGATCGTTTCCACCGGGCTGGAGCCGTGCTCTTGTTTCCAGCGGTTGAACTCCTGGCGAACTTGGTCGAGTAATCCTAGGGCGTCGGTTTTCGTGTTAGTTCGATCTTTTCCCCCGGCTCTCCTCTGACGGGCCGGTCGGACTGAGTTGACCTCTCTCGAACCCTCTTGAAGGCTAGCTTCAGGCCCAGTTGCAGATTCACGAGCCTCGTCGCGAGATCAGTGGTTGTCCAGTGCACATAAAAATATTTTCCAGTGCACTGGAATATTATTTTTTAGTACTGGAATATATTTTCAGTGCACTGGAAAATAGTATTTCAATGCACTGGAACTATTTTTCAATATTGCAATATATTTTCAGTGCATTGGAAATATATTTTGTCAAGGAATGATGGATTGTGTCTAAAAATTAACTATACAGTATTTGCCACTTGTTTTACAAATATTAATTATATAGATGGATTATTCTTCATTTTGTCAACAAAACATACCAAGTGAGTCAACTTAAGAGTCGGTTGAGTAAAAAAGCCAATCGATGTTTGGTAATTAGTACGGAGTACTTAATATTGTGTTCAAACTTTGAATTGCTATTTTGTTATTTAATGTTTAGACTTTAGATTTGGACTATGTGAATATGTATTCTTTGGTAATGTGCTCGAAAAATTAAGAAATGTTTAAAATTGAGGTTCTTAAATCAAACCAAATTAGTTCTGAACTAAAATCGAATTTTTTCAAATTGAATCGAACTATAATTTTAAACTGAATGGTATAATTATTTTAATATCAAAATATCGATATTGAAATTTAAAAAAAAAAATGACAAGGCTCTTGTCACAAGGAGGAAAGGCAGTCTTGATCAAGTCAGTCATACAAGCTATGCCAACCCACATTTGCTATGCCATTAATCCCCCTAAGGCTGTGATTAAACAAATAGGGAGAATCATTGCTGATTTCTTTTGGGGAAAGGCAGGTGGAAGGAAAAAGTATCATTGGAGTTCATGGGAAACATTGGCCAAGCCAGTTCAGGAAGGAGGGGTGGGGTTTGAGAGTTTGCAGGTAATGGTAGATGCATCAGCAGCCAAGCTGTGGTGGAACTTTAGGAAGGGCAACTCAATTTGGAGTAAATTTATGCTAGCTAAGTACTGTAAGGGGTCTCATGCTGTAATTAGGGGATGGCAATATACAAATTCACATACTTGGAGAAGAATGGTGAAGGTCAGGGGCAGAATTGAGTCAGAAATTAGGTGGAAAGTGGGGGAGGGAAGGTTGAACTTATGGTGGGATAATTGGTCAGGGCAAGGGGCCTTGGCAAATGTCCTAAACTTAAGGGGAAAAA